CTACATGCACCCCGAGATTCTCCGAATTCTTTGACATATACTATCCCTTCCTACGTTATTTTAATGATAACGTAGGAAGTTTCTTAAAGATGGTAAGCCTAGTATTTTAATTCATAGGCAATTATAATTATAGAAAGTAAATTTATCATTCGGCAGTTAAATATTAAGAAGAAAGAAGCTATCAATTATCCGAATCAAATTTTTACTAAATAAATTAAATATCTTAAATAAATCTCTATAAACTCTTAGATTTCATATGTATCGACAGCACAGCTGCCCGAATACAGAAACCTGCTTAATCTGAAAAATATTTTCGAAATTAATTAATAATTTCAAAATTATCAAAGAATCCAGAAAAAAACAGTAGCATGGTGGGATGCGAGCCCACGACCTTTCTATTGCCGGTAGACTGCTCTGACCACTGAGCTACATGCACCCCGAGATTCTCCGAATTCTTTGACATATACTATCCCTTCCTACGTTATTTTAATGATAACGTAGGAAGTTTCTTAAAGATGGTAAGCCTAGTATTTCAATTCATAGGCAATTATAATTATAGAAAGTGAATTTAAGATATTTAATTTATTTAGTAAAAATTTGATTCGGATAATTGATAGCTTCTTTCTTCTTAAATAAATAAATAGTTTAACAAAAATAATAATAAAATAATATTCAACGATAAATATTCATAAATTAATATTTTGATATAATATTAAAAAAAATGTGTATACATTTTTGTTAACAACGCGTTTTTCATTGTTATAAATCATTGTAAACATTAATTTGTTGGTCTAAAAAATATTTGTTATTTTGACTTAGTAATTTTTGCTAATTAATTATGTGGGCGATCCACTTTTTAAAAAAGTGTCGATAAATTTTGGTTAAAAACACGTTTTTCATTATTCTAAAACCTTATAAACATTAATTTCTTGTTGAAAAAAAATTTCTAGGTTTGGACTTAAAAATATTTGGTAATGAAACTAGGAAGTCCAGGTAGGGCCTGGCTAGCCTCTGGGTGAATTAGCCCACATTCAAACTGCAATATCTCATAAAGTTTTGTACCAACTTAAACGAAACTTAAAATAAGTGAACAAAAATTTAATAACTTTTTACACAAACAACGTAGAAAGAGCATTTTTTAAAATTTTACAATCAACTTTTAATTTTAGTAGTAAAACTTTAGAATATTTTATGATTTTAACGATTCATCAATTACCTGCAAAATTATAAAAAACTGATAGCTTCAAGATAATATGACTGAAAATTTAATAAAACAACAATTATATGTTCACACAATTTCTGAATAGTTAATATCATAAATTATTCTCAATTTATACATCTTAAAGAAAAATTAATTTCATATTATTCGTATTAGTTGATTGTAAAATTAGAATAAAATGCAATTTTCCAGATGGCTTGTGACAAATAATGGCTTGTGTAAATAACAACAATTATTTATTTAAACAATGGCTGAATTGTTAAAATCGTAAAATATTTTCATTTCATAATTTTGAAATTAGTTTATTGCAAAATTAGAAAAAACACAAATTTAAAAGTGCTTAATTTAAAAGTGCTTTGTGTCATGAGTTAGTAATTAATAATAATTATTTATTTAAACAATTTTTTAAATGTATAAAAAATCGTTATCCTAGATTTAATAATTTTATTTTCCTAAAAATTTGTATAACACATAAATGGATCTCCTAGCTATTACCAGGTTAGGACCAGTCTAGTATAGATAGGGGATGTCAATGCGTAGGTCACATTTCAGAACTTATTACTAAAATAATAAATAATAAATAGTAAATATAAATAAATAAAAAATAAAATACTTCAAAATAAACAAATACACACACACAAAAAAATAAAAAAAAAAATAAAATACAATAATAACAAAAAATAAAATAAAATGCTTCAAAATAAACACAAAATACAAACACAAAAAATAAATAAATTAATAAATAAAGAAAATAAATAATAAATAAAAAAAATTAAATAATAAAAAAAATTATAATAAAATTCTTCAAAATAAACACACTCGCACAAATACACTCAAAATGCACTCAAAATACATAAAACACACACAAAAGTACAGTGGCGGATCCAGAATTTACTCCAGAGGGGGCCATCTTTAGATGTGGCGAGCAGACACAATGCAGACACAAAAATAAAAATATATATAAATAAATAATGAAATAAATAAATAATAATGTTGCACATTTGTTTTAAAAAAATTGATAATATAATAATAATTACTTTTATTTTATGTTTCTTTAACGTTTTCCTCTTCGAATTGCAACAACCAATCAAGGGTTTATCCTTGATTGTTTAAAATGCGAGATTCGTTTTTCCCCGTTTAATTTACTAAAAATTTAGAATTTAGAAAAGAGTAACTAAAAATGGTTGCAGGATAGGTTGTTTTTAATTAATAAGCATTTATTTCCCTTATAAGTTTTAAATTTATTTTCCCTTTTCTTTTCAAAATTTAAGCGTAAACATTACAATAATTATATTTCGCCTACCGCTAAACTTATCCTACCACCTCCACTTCGTAGAGATGGGCCTTGTTTAATTGTTTAGTGTTGATCACCTCGATTGTAATTTTCAATAATTCTTCGCTTGATCCCTTGAGATGTCGATTATTTTAAACACAATTCTTACGCCCGTGATTTTACTCGCGTTAATTCTACGTTTGTGTTGATTCTTTTTCACCACTATCGATTAACCGAGTTGTTAAAACTTGCCTTAATTAGTGTAGAAATCTAATTAAGGGACAGTTAAGACCGCGTCTTCTTATTATTAATGACCGATTAATACTGCGTTGATCGAACTGTGATGTCAATTTTTATACCAGAAACTATATTTCTGTTGGAGGGAAAATCTGCAACTCTGACATTCCTCAGGGATCGTTGTCCCATGTTGAAATAATTTATTATTTCCATATTTCAAAGGAGTACCCCTTTGGATCGCTTTTGCTGACTTTGCTTTCTTTTGAATTAAGCAAGTCCATAGTATATTAATCCATGATTGCCAAAGACAAACGAAATTATTTGCAATAATTGTTGCTTCATTATTTGGCAATCATTATTAATCTTTGTATATTTGTGTCCTTAGGGTTAACAACCTTGCAGCAATAAGTTATTGCACTTATTTTGATTTTAAGGAGGAATGTCATTACAGACTATTTTGGTTGGTGTAACAATTGACATACGAGCTCATTCCAGAAAATGATTTAGCTGATTTGTTTGCATATTTCTTATAATAGGGATTCTCTCCTTTTTTAAAATTTATTTATAATTATAATTAATGGATTATTGATTCGTTACATATAAATATAAATACCATTCACTGCTAGGATTTTCGCTTTATAGCCTTTTCCATGCCAGATTATAAGGCAACAATTTTTATTTTTTTTTCACCACATCCGCTTTTTCCACAACGCTAATTTCCCTGCTCATCGACCATTGTACTAAATAGAACATTTTTATTTTATTTTTTGTGTCAGAAGAAAAAAAGCAAGTGAAGCTAACCAAATTGTCAGATAAAATAACAAAACATGACTATAATTTTGAACAATAAATCAATGAGGTTGAGTTCACACTATATGTATACTATTACACATGTATTTCTTTGAGAAAATTATTTCATTTAAATTTGATCACTTTTCGAAACTAATTTTGTCCAAAATTCGTGTGAATTAATGACGAATTTTTATATAAAATTTTTAAGAAATTTCCACTCAAAATTCAATAGGAATTCCGCATGTGATGTTTGCTGCAATTTTTTTTTAATTTTCAACCACTATTCCAAACAAGTACAATATTCGTTAATTGCTAAAGAATTATTTTTATCAAATTTTCAAGTAATTTCCGTTAGAAATTCCATAAGAATTGTACATGTAGTTGTTACAGTAAATTTTTTTTCCAAAAATTTCTGCAACATTTTAAAAAAAAATTGCGATAACAATTATATGCACATACAATTCTTATGGAATTTCTAACGGAAATTACTTAAAAATTTAATAAAAAAAATTCTTTAGCAATCAACGAATATCGTACTTGTTTGGAATAATGGTTGAAAATAAAAAAAAATTGCAGCAAACATCACATGCGGAATTCCTATCGAATTTTTAGTGTAAATTTCCTAAAAATTTTATATAAAAATTCGTTATTAATTCACACGAATTTTGGACAAAATTAGTTTCGAAAAGTGATCAAATTTAAATGAAATAATTTTCTCAAAAAAATACATGTGTAATAATATATAGTGTGAACTCAACCTCATTGATTTATTGTTCAAAATTATAGTCATGTTTTGTTATTTTATCTAACAATTTGGATAGCTTCACTTGCTTTTTTCTTCTGACCTATTTTATCAACAAATTTTTAAATAATTAAATTTTTTCGACGAATTATAATTAAATTTTCAAGAATAATTACATTTTTTGAGGAATTTAACTGAAATTGTATTAAAAATAATTGTAATTCTATGATGTGTTCTATTATTTATGAAAATAATTGAAACTCTGCCAAAAATTTTATTATTATGACGAGAACTTTCTAACATATGTTTCAACATAATTGTATTTCTATAATCATTTGTAATCAGATAAATTTTAATTTTTTGAAGGTAAAAATTCGTGAAATTTATTCCCAGGCACAGAATACATAAAAAAAGTTTCGATCAAATTTATTTAAAGATGTCACCGGTAAGGACCACGCACAAAATACACATAAATTTGATCCCAATCGATTTTTTTGAAACTACGTAGAAAAGTAGTTTTTTGTGCCAGGAAAAAGATTTCCAATTAAAAAATTACAAAAAATCGATTGGGATCCAATTTAAATGTATTTTGTGCGTGGTCCTTTATAGTGATGCATATCGAACCCAGAAATGATTATGATCGCTCGATTATGTTTGATAATTAACGATTTTGTCGATATGAAGTTGTCAATTGACAGTTAAATTAAAATAATTATTTTGCTATTAACAACACAAAAATGTCAGGAAAAAGAAAGAATCCCGAGGAAGCAGGTGAAGAGAACTTGACTGAAACTGTTCAGTTTTCACAAAGGTTCAAATACAAATTTTTAATTTATTTTAGATTCTATTGTTAACCTTTTCAAGCAAATGAATGAAAGTTTTTATATTTACTAGTCAGAAATTTCAACTGTAAATCAAATTGTTTTTATTTTTATATGTGATTGTTAAGTGGTGAACAGAAAAAGTGTAGAAGTAAAAGAAGAAAAAATAATGCGAAATCGTTAGATGAGTACTTTGAATTTTTTCAAGGAACTGATTCTAAAATGGCTCGGTGCAAATTGTGTCCACCAGATTTAAATGAACAAGGTCCATGTATCATAAAAATGACGAATAGTAATACAACTGGATTACAACGGCATGTTAACAAATTTCATATTGAAGTTTACAAAGAAACGTATCCGGAAAAGGGAGACTCTCTTGGCTCGAAAAAAGAAAATTTATAAATCGCTTTTTTAAAAACATAACCCAAGAAGTATAAAATTCAAACATAAAAAATTATATTTACTAATATTTATATTTTAATTATTATATATTCATTATTTATTTTATTTATTATTTATATTTTATTCGTATATTTATTAATATTATAATATTATTATTTTACATGTAATTATTTTGCTTTGTAATTCAATAGTGAGAAAGATGTGAAACAGGTTAAATTATATTTTTTTTTAATTTTTGGAGGTTTTTTGTACTTTTATAACATTTCTTATTTGAAAATAAATAAAAAAATTAAATAATAAATAATAAATAATAAATAATAAATAATAAATAATAAATAATAAATAATAAATAATAAATAATAAATAATAAATAATAAATAACTAATAAATAATAAATTTAAAAAATTATATTTCTGGAAAGTGAATTTAAAACATTACATATAAGAATGATATAATTTTCACTTTCGATTTACTCATTTCAGGTATTTTTTCAAGAAATTTTTGAGAAAAACACAGTTGACTGGTTAGCAAAAAAATTTCTTTCCTTCTGCTTTTTTGACGATGACGAAACACGAGCATATTTTAATTATTTAAACCCCGAAGCTGACATTCCCATGCGTAATCGATTAAAAGTTTTAACGGATTGTAGATACCAGGAGATGTTAAGAGTTGTCATGAAAATATTAAAGACTAACTGCTCCAAAATAGCATACACCATTGATGGATGGACTTCAATAGCTAATCGGTCTTATTTCAGAGCAACCGCGCATTTTATTAATGATGAATAAGAAATTCACTCGCTAGCTCTATTTTTCTTACCATCGAATGGAAAACACGCGGGAAAGGAAATTGCAGAACTCTTCAAGAACGCTTTTGCAGAACATGATTTGAATGAGAAAATTGCTGGTATTACAGTGGATAATGCCTCTGCAAATACAACGTTTATGAGAGAATTGTCGCATTTAATACCGAATTTCGACTGCATTGATCAACACTTCAGGTGCTACGCTCACGTTTTAAATTTAAGCGTTCAGGACATGTTGAAAGTATTGAAAATAGATTCAATTAAGAACATAGAAGGAAAAGATGATTTTGAAGACAATGAAGATGCAGAGGAGGAAGCAAGAAAAGAGATAATAGAAGAAGACGATGAAAATGCAACAGATGAGACAAATCTTGAATTCCCACTATTTAGACTTCGAAAATTATTTAATATACTTAAGTATTCTGAGCAGTGTAAAGAAAAATTAACAAGATGCTGTGACATTGTTGAAGAGAGAATGCTACAACCTTCTATGGACGTTTCCACACGTTGGAATTCAACGTACGATATGATCGCAACTGGAACAAAGATGCAACGTGCCATAAGTTTACTTTGTCAAAATAATTTAAAGTTGAGAAAGTATTTTTTATCTGAGTATGACTGGGAACTGTTGAAAAATGTCAACGAATATTTGGTTCATTTCAAAATTCTTTCTCAAGCACTTTCTGGTGAGAAGTATATTACACTTCCTTTGGTAGTAATCGGCTTAAATATGCTTGTTGATCGAATTGAAGAGTCAATTAAAGAGTTGATAGAAAAAATGGACCAGAGTGAAATCGATGCAGTCATAGTAAAAGCTTTAAAAGCTGCAAGGGCAAAGCTGATGAAACATTACGAGAAAAGTAATTAGGTATACTGCGCTAGCCTTATTTTGGACCCCAGATTCAAAGTCGAGTCATTTTATGAAACCGAGTGGGGAAAAAAATGGCAGCTATGTCGATTAAAAAGTTCGAGGATATTTATCAAAAATTTTATTACAAATCGGAGGTATTTATGAGATATAAATAAATAATTTCCAACTAATATTTTTATTTGTTTCAGACTTCGCACTCGATAATAAAAGAGTAGAAAAAATGGTTTTTAAAATAAAAAAAAAAATTAACTTGACGACCAAAAAAAACTCGTTTTTGACACTTTTCAAAACTGACAAAAATTCGATTCCATATTTTTTATTTTTCTGACTTTGTCCTAACTTCCATTTAAAATATTTACTTCTTTCTTATCCTGCTAATAAATTGAATTCCTGCAACGAATTTTCTTATTCTTTAAAGAATTTAAATATATTTACAAAAATACTTTAATTCTTGCAAAGAATTTTATAAAAAGTTTTAAATAATTGATTTCTTTCGAATAAATTTATGCAGATTCTAATTTAAATAATTAGATTCCTAAGAAATTTTTATTATTTATGAAAAGAATTGAATTCTTACAAATATTTTTACAAAAAGAGTTTTAAATAATTGAATTAATTTTGGAATTTTTATAAAAATAATAGATATTAAAAATCATTCAATTGCGAAAAGTTTTTAAAAATACAATTTTACAAAGAATTCAATTAGAATTTTTGTAAATAATTAAATTCTTCCAGAGAATTTTCACCAAACTTTTTTTTAAAATAATTTATTTTTTTGAGGAATTGAAATTAAATTTTTGATTTTTTCGAAATTTTTTCGAAAATGCCATTCTAAATTAATTGAATTTCTGTGAAAATTTTATTATTTATAAAAATAATTAAGTTTTTGATAAATTTTATCAATTTTGTAAAAATAATTGAATTATTTTGCGAAATTTTATGAAAATACTAAATATTGAAAATAATTGAATTTTGAAAGTAATTGAATCGTTTCAAAGAATTTAATTATAATTTTTAAAAATGGCTTTTTAATTTCTAAAATTAGCTAATTTAAAGTAGTGGAAATTCTAAAAATATAGTATTTTTCAATGACTGAAATCTAAATAGTACTCAAATAGTATCATAACGTAAAAAAGCAGTAAATAGTAGGCTTTAGTTAATAAGTTCGAAGTCTGATGTTGATATTTTAATATTGAATAAAAGCAACATTTATAAATAAATAAATAAATAAATTAAAAGCAACATCTTGACTTTTAAAGTTTTTTTGTTTCAATGTAATCGTTACTTTTAAAAATAATTAAAAATAGAAATTTTTTCATAAAAAATAATTTTTCAAATAGACCACAGGACAAAGCACTTCAAGCCACACAGAAGACGATGAGATGGTGGAAAGTAGAGGAAAACTTAATTTGTTTAAGTTATTTAAATCAAATAATACAAATGATAAAGAAAAAAATGCAAATAAAACGTCACGATATCAGCAGTGGAGAAAAGAAATAGATCTGTACTTGTCTCAAAGTTGCGCAGATGAAGAACAATATAATGTGTTACAATGGTGGCATAGTCATTCAAAACAATTTCCAAATTTATCAAGAATGGCTCAAGATCTATTATGTATCTAAGCAACATCTGTATCAGCAAAAAGAATTTTTTCTCGCAGTTCTCTCACGATAAGGAAGCATAGAAATAAATTAAATAACGATGCTATTAGAAATTTGATGTGTTTGAACTCCTGGGTAACGTGTTCTCTTGCACCGAAAATTCAAAAGCTTTTGCAAGAAAATTGTTAAAATGTTTATAAAAGTTAATTAAATTGATAAAATGTTGTTAACCATGCTGTAAAAAGACAGTATAATATTTTGATCAAAAAGACCTTAATTTAAGGCACTTCTCATGTCTAAAACAATAAAAATGTCTTCTAAATTACGACATTTCTTTTTACAGTTGTTACGTCAAATAAACAAGAAACCTTTTTAAATATTCCTAACGTTCCTCGTTTTAAATTAGTTTCATAAATGAATCTAATTTGGGATGAGGATAAGTCAATGAGCCTACTAAATGTACTGAGAGAATGATTTATTTAAAAACCAACAAGAAAGAAAAGAATTGACAAAATACAATGAGTATAATTGAGTTTAGAAAATCTTACTTTTAAAGAATGACGATTACTGGTGTAACATTTTATTAATAAATAAATAATAAATAAATAATATATAAATAATAAATAAGTAATAAATAAGTAATAAATAAATAAAAAATAAAACTCGTAAATTTCAATCGAATTGAATCCTTTCTTTTTTAAATCAATTAGTAATATTCTATGAATAAAAATAAATAAACAATAAATATTTATAAATAAATAATAAGTTATTAAAAAATAAACAAATAATTTGTCTGCGTAAAATAAAATAAACAAATTAATGTCAATTAAAAAACAATAACAAAATTAAGAAATATCTCAAATAAGTTCCTTGTAGATTATTAGACTACTTTTTAACTACTCTGATTTGTTCAACAAGTCCTACATTAAATTAAACAACTTGTATTAATCATCAAAAGTAGTTAAAATAAGTTGTTCATTTCATGATTATTAAGCTTCCTCAATATAATATATACGAATTGTTTAATTTTTTATTTTAGAATAATTATTTTAAAGTGTTAAGATAAAATGTCAAAAAATACAAAATTTCAATTTTTTGTGAAAATTTAAAACATTTATTAATTCTATAAATTTTGATAAAATATATACTTTATATACATGAATCGATTCGTTTTTATGTCAGGAATGCAATTTTGACAAGAATTAATAAAAAATTTAATATAGAAAAAAGTTATTTCAAAAAATCCAAAAATTAATTTTTTCAAAAATTAAAAAATTGTTGAAAAAAATTTTTTTTTTAGATATTTTTGAAAATCCTTTTGTCTGATTTTTGGTATTCGTGACCGTAATACACCTACAAAATTTTATCAAAATCCGTCAAGACGTGTAAGAGAAAATTTGTCCACAAGAATCGGTGACATACACACACACACACATACATACACACATACATCCGGACATTTGTTCCTCTCGACGAATTATATATACTACACTTGAAAATTTGTAAAAATAATTGGTTCTAAAAAATTCGGAAATCGACATCACTATAAGGCTTCCTTTATGAGGAAGCAATAAATCAGATAAATAGAAAAATAAAAAAGTAATATATAGTGGAAAAGTAACATTTTATTCGTTTACATAAAGCGAAGACCTAGTTCGCGAATCGAGTAATTCTTTATATAAGGAGCGCGCATGCGTAGACTCAACTCAAACATGGAGGGTGCTCGAACGACTGCTGATTTAAAAATGAGACTCTTAGAACCCCCTATTTGACAAATCCACTTTTCCGGACGCGCAGTCGCGTTACAAGACTAAAATGTTACTTTTCCATCATATATTACTTTTTTATTTTTCTATTTATCTGATTTATTTTAACTACATTTTGATGATTAATACAAGTTGTTTAATTTAAAGTAGGGCTTGTTGAACAAATCAGAGTAGTTAAAAAGTAGTCAAATAATATACTATGAACTTATTTCAGATATTTCTTAATTTTGTTATTGTTTTTTAATTTACATTAATTTGTTTATTTTATTTTACGCAGACAAATTATTTGTTTACTTTTTAATAACTTCTTATGAATTTATAAATATTTATTATTTATTTATTTTTATTCATAGAATATTACTAATTGATTTAAAAAAGAAAGAATTAAATTCGATTAAAATTTACGAGTTTTATTTCTTATTTATTTATTATTTATATATTATTTATTTATTATTTATTTATTAATAAAATGTTACTAATTGATTTAAAAAATAAAGATTTCAATTCGATTGAAATTTACGCGAGTATTAGGTAATTTTGACCGTTACCTTGTACACAGAACCTTTGCTTCAGTGCGCTTTTTAGCCCTGCGCCCAAAGACAAAAAATACAATATCTCTGAAAGTTTAAGAGTCTCCATCGATTTCTTTATGTCAAAATAGTCGTGAAATCCTAAGGAATCAAAATATCGCTATTAGAAAAAAATTAAAGATACGCTTATAAACAAAAAATTTGTTTAAACAATATTTTTTTAATTTTTTATTTAAAACAAAAAAAATTTTTTTGCAAATTTTTTCATTTTAATTGTTTGTAAATAATAAGTAATCCCTGAAAAAATAATTAAAATCCATCCATATGTCTCTAAGATATTGCGTTTTCAAAATTTCAAAAAAAAATTTTGATAACTCTGAACAACCACAAATTTTTAAATATTTTTAATAATCTTTTTTGGAATTTTTATTTGCATGTATTTCCCTACAATTCTTCAAAGTTTCGCCAAAATCAGAGAACTGAGGGACAACTTTGATTTGTTAGGTATGATTTGACCCTGATGATATACTCTTTACACTAGAGCAATACTAGATCGATGTGTACAGGTTGATTCTCAAAAAATTACTCTCTGCTGAATGAAACTGCTTGCCCTTTTTATATCAGATTTTCATAACTGTATAGATGCCGAAAAATTGTACACGTGCTAAAATTTGTTTCTCCTTGTGCTAGTTAATAGCGAAAGAATTTCTCTATGTGTTGTTGATATTTCCTCCGGGAGATTGTACGTAGCGCCCTTTCGTTAAGTTTCTCGGCGTTTGTTGTTCACCTAAACTTCTCGGGGTTCGCTGCTTTTACTTTCTTTCGTCCGGCCTACGTTTTTAGAAGGTTGTCAAATTGTCGCTTCATCGTTATTCTTTTTACATGAGTAATAATATTACTTTCCTTTCTTGGATTGTTACAGTTTCAAAATACATAGTAAAATATGCAAATAATATATGACAATAGAATACAATATTAAAATAGAAAAAATGTATTAAATATAATACTAAAATAGAAATGTGTATAAATAATAATTACAATATTTTAATAGAGAAATATACTGAATATAATGCAATAATTAAAATATAGATTATAAGAGT